TCTTGCCGTAAATAGCAAATATATGAGTTTGAGGTGGCCGTTTTTTCTTTTACAGAAATATTACTCTTTTCAACTATCTGTTTCTGCAGCACTTGAAGCTCTCTTATTCATACTCTTCCGTGCTGACCTTTGGAGGCTGTCGAGATGACTTCATGATTGTAGTCAGTCAAATAAAAGAAAGGAGTTCTGGAAAAAACAGCACAGAAAAACTGCTTTTCGCAATGGCAATTCCAAAGGTAATTACAAAATGAACGATCAGTGCCTTTGCAGCTGGCTGCATCACAGGTGGGCATTTGGTACAAGCACTAGGGACTGGTACTTCTGGCTGCTGCACAAGCTGTGTACATTCAAGAAATCCCTTGCAAGGTGGAACCTTTAATCAAATGACTTATTCCACCCAACTCTTAAAGTCATACCTTGAATCCAAAACTGAACAACTCCATGTGAGACACAGCCATTTGCAAAAGTTTTGCAGTCAATAGGTTCTAAAAATCAAAGGGCACTTTTCTCTCTAATTGACTTACAGTTAATCATTTTCTTTTTTCCCCCTAGATTGTTGAAGCAACACTTCTTATTGCCAGCTATATTAACTACCGTTCAACAGCTTCACTTCTACCCTCTACACAACCCTCCCGAAACGCAACACCTGCTAACAAGCTCTGGGAGACTGAAAGTCGGTGCTTTTTTCCTTCCAAGCCTCGAAGCACTAAGGGGCCCACCCTGCTCTGAGGGTTCATTCCAAATTACTTTGGAGATTTTTTGTTTGTGGATTTTTCTTTTGTTTCTTTTTACACTACTGTGTACTGACTTGCAGACTGTTATGATTTTGCCAGTTGTACACCTTGTTTTAATGCAGATTCTGATTCTTTTTCCTTGACAACAGACAAAGTTCCATAGCGTGCGTAGAGGCAGTATTCTTTCTCCTCAGAAGTGTTGATCTTGGGGATTGTGCAGTTTCTTTTCTGTGCCACACTCCATCCAAGATGTCCCGCCTCAGGTCCTTTTGCTGCACAGTGCTCCAGTCACACTGCATCTCCTGCTCTTCCCTTGCACCCACTCTTCTTCCATCTCCAGCTGTTACAGCTTTGCTCACAAGCACATACAGTTTGCATTGATCCCTCCCATTTTCAGCTTTGCACCTGCTTTTAGATTGCTGCACTGCACCTTACGCTTGGAACCTCAGTTCCAGCTCTTCCATCTCCTCGTGACCTCTTTTCCTCATCACAGCCCCTTTCAATTATTTCCACTATTTCCAATAATATTCTGTTTGCAGTCACTAACTCAGTCACTAACTTGTTCACTCTTTACCTGCATTAGACTGGAACCTCTGCAAGGCAGATTTGAGTAGTATAGGCTTGAATTTGACTGCAATGGGCTGAGTACACAGTCCTATTAAAATTAAAAACAGGTGCTTTGGGATACTGTGGCATGTGACATGAACCCAGTACAAGGGTGCATCCTGCTGATTATTACCTGTATAAGGAGTTGCCTGTCAATTCCTCATAAACTAGAGACACACTGAAAAAGCTATTACCAGAGTGTAAAGATTAATAAGACATAGATGGCCAAGTAGTTTAGACATAGCCATGTCTATGCTCTGGTTATGAATAGCCATATTATAGTTTTGACTGGTGTTGAAATTCACTCCTGCCACTCAGAACAACTATTAAGATAACTATTGTAGTTTCTGGAAAAAAAAAAAAAAGCTCTCTGTATTTATGCAACTGCTTAACATAACCAAGACAATTTATTTTTTCCTAAAGCTACATTGACTCCTCCCTGAAACTGATGCCAAAATTCAAAGACAGAGACTTTCCAAGTCCTTGCCCCAGACATGAAAGAAAGGAAGAAGCTATTGAGAGGGATTAGGAACTAAACTGACAAAAAGACTTCTGATGCATGTCAAGGGTGATTTTAAGACCTGAACTAGGGAGTACAGAGTTCAGTGGTACATAAGAATTTTTTCAACCTTAACTTTATAAAGGTGAAAAGCCGACATCTTTGCATGTTGAAGTCTCAGAACAATTGAGACTGGAACAGTGTCAGACGACGCCCTAGCTTCTGCAGAATGGATGTGTTTCGACAGCTGACGCTGTTCTATGTGTCAGATCTCTGCTGCAGGGCTGAATGTGTCACGTGCTCCTCTAACCTGCATGTCCAGACTTTCCCTTAATCACCGTTACAGATGCTTTGGGATGTGTTTGAAACTGCACATGATCTCAGACAAAGGAAGACAAGGCAAGCAAACCTTGCCATTTTATCTGTCTTTCAGCAACTGGAACAGACCTTCTCAAACCCCCTCTGCCCTTCTTACTTCACAGAAGCTGTTCCTTTAAAACTCCTGCTTCCTTCATGCTACCAGGTCAAGGAGGAGGTAGATAGCAAATAAACACTCAAATACTGTTCTTCATATTTTCCACAGGAGTGTTTTTTGATCTGTTTCAAAAGGACTTTGTGCTGATTGGGAAGCCTAATGGATTTTAAACAAACGAAAGAAAAACAGCCATGCCTCTTGAGAACTCTAAATCTGGCTTGAGTTTGACTATTTTGATGAGTCTTCTACAAAGCTAAGGAAGAAGAACTGCCCTTTCAAAAGTACCATGTGCAACTTCATAATAATTATGCATTCATGGGCAACTTTCCCAAATTAAAACGGTGTGAATCCAACCATTATAAAGAATTCAGCAATGGCAAACCAAAGCTAGTCACAAATGAACAAACCAACCATACCAGTGTTTTTAACTTCCTAGTACTTGCCACCAACCCTCAAATATCCAACTAATGCACGCAGTGGAGCTGATACTGCAAGAAGTTTTTGTTTCAAACTTATGGCAGGTAGAAAGCCACAAATTAGAAGAACATGGGGCAGACAAAATCATTCTAAACAATCTCTTATCAGCATATTAAAAACAAACAAAAAAAGTGGTTTGTGGAAACAGACTTGAAACAGATTATGTATACAGAGACCTATTTGCACATACTGTAATATACCCACTTGTCATGAATTTAAGGACCATCCCTTGAATTTACTGAAAAGGGTAGAAGCTTTCTGAGCCAAAAATAATGTTGTGAAGGTATTGTCTTAGTCTTTTTTTTTTTCTCCTTAGATACTTCTAAGTGACAATAAATCCTCATAGAGCAGTTAGTAGCTTATATTCTCATTTTCTCTATATCTTAGTATAGATACACAAGTTTGAATAAAAATAGCGTTCTTTCTCCTTACATAGTCACATACAACAGACAATTCCTCCGGGATGTGGAGGTGTGTTTGGCAGCCTGCTTCTTATGTCCTGCCAGTAATAGAGCTGCCTCAGAATGAGCTGAACTCAACTCATTGTCAGCCGTTCTGAGGATGCTCAAGGCATGAAAGCCTCCAGTTCATTGTTCAGAGGCTGTACTTACCTTGTGCTGCTAACATTCACAGCCTCAGGGACTTGTGTCAGGGCAAACATGGAGCAGAGATGTTGAATAAGCAAGAGCTGTCATGAAATTCATTATTTTCTGCCATAATTGCACTTTAAATTTACAACCATGGCATATGGAACTTTTTTTCTTCCTTTCTTACAAACATTCATTAATACTTGAGTATTTCAGGGACCACCCCACTCCAATACCTCCTATTTATAGCTTACCTGACTCTAAAACAAACAAAAACCTGTGTAGGTATCTATTTTGTATGATTCTTTGATAGGGAAAACGGTTTTTATTTTAATCGATGCTTTTGGCAATGATTATTGCTACAGTATAGAGTGAGATGACTGAAGCCTTTGTTTTCCTAACTGCTGTGTGTGTGTAAAAGACTGTCTTGGAGATACTGTGAGATTTCTGTACTTAATAAAAAGCAATTATCATGAATTAAGTTGTATTTCTTCTGAGATTGAAAGAAACTCTTTATCTCAAAAGCCGAAGTAGCCTTGATGTAAACAAATGTGGGCAAAACCTGTGTTTGGTATCCGGACACATACCTGGTGCACACCTGCCATACTCTAAGTCCTTGTTTCTCTCTGTTCATTGTCTGACTCTCAGCTGTAGCAGATCACTGATGCGCACTCCCATGGGTACTGGATGTCCACTCCTTCCAATGATGGCTAAAGCAATCTTCCAGACTTCTGTGATACAGCTCCACCTGCATTTCTTCTGTACTCACAGGACTTCATGGGATTTTTGCAGTGTAGGCAATGTTCCCAGCACACTCTTAGGCCCAAGACTTATTTCTCTTCTGACACCTTTTCCCCACTGCTCAGCACATCTTCCTGCTGCTGTAATGCTCTTCGAGGTTCTTTACTATTTCCTCCTTCCCTCCCCACAAAGAAACACAACCTGCCCAAACCAGGCCCCTGAGCAGCTCTGTACCTAGCTCTAAGTATGCCACAGGAGTGTTAGTCAAAGGACCTCTACTGTAGTCACATTCCTGGGGCCTGCTGCTGTTGTTGAGAGCTGGTTTCTGCTCCTGCCCCAGCACTCAGCTTCCCCAGTTCTGCCAGGACTTGCAACCAGTTTGCATCAGGGTACAGCTTCACTAATTTCAGAGAGAGAACACTCAGCCCACCCCCAACAACTTTGTGTTATGGCAGAACTGGACTTACAATTATGGCAAACTCCAACATTTAAAGCATTTGTGAGAAACAAAAACACACAAAAAAAGTAGCTAGACAGGGTTACCAAAAGCCAGTGATGCCTCCCAAAGCTGCTGCCCTTCACTTTGACAACCAAAATACTCCAGTGATAAGAGCTAACCTGTATCTTTAAAACACAGCAATGATGCATCACCACATTTTAATTCTACATTATGTGCACACCTATAGCACAGCACTGTATGCAGATTAAGCACAAGCCCAAGGCTCCTGCCAGCTTGCTGGTTTAGCTCTTGTTTTTCCAACATTTCTGTTGCCTCAGTTACATCACTATGGAGTTGTGGAAAAAAAAAAAAAAGGATAGAAAAATACCAGTTAAAAGTTACAGTAACTTTTAAATCATCAACTAAGAAGAATATTCCAATATTAAGTTAGTCTCAGTGAAGCTACTTTATTCACATAGCATTATAATTTTCAACAACATATTTTCCTCATCATCTCAAAGCAATTGATACCCTGTTGGCTGAGGCTGGCAGGGCCCCTGGAGCCCACCTGGTCCAAGCCCTGCTTAGGCAGGGCCACCCAGAGCAGGGTGCCCAGGGTCACGTCCAGGTGGCTTTTGGAGATCTCCAAGGGACTCCAGCACCTCTCTGAACAGAGAGCCTGTTCCAGGGCTCAGCCACCCACATGATAAAAATGTTCCTGATACTCAGGTGGAACCACCTGTGTTTCAGTTTGTTCCCATTGCCTTGTATTCTGTCACAAAGCACCACTGAAAAAGCTTGTCTCCATCTTCTTTACACTCTCCCTTCAGATATATACACTTGTATACACTTATAGGATTCCCCTCCTGAGCCTTTTCCAGGCTGACCAGCCCCAGCTCTTGCAGCCTTTCCTCACACGCTCCAGCCCCATAACAATCATGGCCTTTCCTCGTCTCCCTCCAGTGTGTCCATATACTGGGGGCCCAGCAGTGGATGCAGCACCCCAGGCAAGGCCTCACCAGTGCTGAGGAGAGGGCAGAGATGCCCACCTGTGACCTGCTGGCTACGCTCCTCCTCACGCAGCCCAGCACAGTTAGCCTTTTTTGTTTTGTGGCAAGGCCATGTTGCCGGCTCCTGCTCACTCGGTGTCCATAAGGATCCCCAGGTCCTTTTCTGCAAAGCTGCTTTCCAGCTGGTCAGCCCCAGCATGTACGGGGAGGAATGGCATGGGGTTATTCCTCCCTGGGTGCAGGACTTTGCACTCCCCTTTGTTGAACTACAGGAGGTTCCTGTGTGCCCATCTCTCCAGCCTGTCCAAGTCCCTCTGGTTGGCAGCACAAACCTCTGGCATAACAGCCACTCCTCACAGCTGTGTGTCATGAGCAAACACCCTCAGCACTTGTGGGTGCCTCCCGTCAGGTCCCATGGACTTACACGTGTCTAGGTTGCTTAAGCGTTATCTAAACTTATCCTCTTCCACCAAGGGTAAGTCTTCCTTCTGTCCCCTGATATCTGGGGCCTGGCATTCCTGAAGGCTGATCTTGCTAGTACAGACTGAGGTGAAGGCACTCAGCACCCTTCTTTTCCATGTCCAGGCGTTACCCTGCCCCTGTGCCATTCAGCAGTGGGCCAATGTTTCCTGGTTTCCTTTTTGCTGTCTCTGACATTCCTAAATAGATTCAACTCCACATAGGCTTTGGCTTTCCTAACCACATCTCTGCATGCTCAGACAGTGTCTCTATATTCTTTCTAGGCTACCTGCCTCTCCCTGCTTCCACCTTCTGGTGTTTGAATTTTGCCGGGAGCAGTTGTTCATCCATGCAGGCCTCCTGGCATTTTTGCTTGACTTCCTGCTTGTTGGGATGGGATGACCTATTCTTGTGCTTGGAGGAGGTGATCCTTGAATATTAATCAGCTTTCTTGGTCCCCTCTTCTCTCTAGGGTCCTATCCCATGGGACTCTTTCAAGCAGATCCCTGAAGAAACCACAGTATTCTCTCCTATGTTTATTTCCATAAACATAATTGAATGCAACAGTGTATTTTAATTTTCTGTCATTTTCTTTCTAAAATTCCCCTGTTGATCAGGAAGTTACTGTGCTAGCCGACCCTTTAGTTTTGATATTCTAGACTGGTATATGCTTTTTTCAAAGAAAGGATTAAAAAAAATAAAAAAGCCCACGTTTGTGTCAGTCTGGACAAGGTTACACCATGTGTTTATCAGAATGCTCAGATCCACAGAAATTTAAACATTTGATGGATATTCTTGCCTCCCATTGCCATATTTATTTTCCAGAGAGTTCTGCTCACCTTTCTTCACAGCAGCCAATTTCAAGGTTCACTTGTGTGCCTGAGCTGACACCTTCTATAACAGCTCTCTGAGTCTGTGCAGACTATTACCCATAACGTCATTCTACTGCTGCACCACATTGTAAACCTCTAACTTAAAAAAGCCATGGGTCAGTGTTGCTTGCTTTGCATGCATCTGTCCAAGTCCTGCAGCAAGTTTTCCACCTTGATTATTTTTTATTACTTTATTCCACTTGATTGTGGAGCTTCTTTCCTCTGATCCAGGATTTCTTGACAACTTTTGTACACTTCCATTAAGCAGTCCAGACGTGGCTGGGAGCTCTAGAAATCACATCAAACAACAGAGAACAGGCTCTGAATGGGGTGTAAAACAGTGAGATTTGTCAGGTAGATAAAAGAATGTGGAGACAGCTGACACAAAGCCAAAAATCAGAAGCATGCATGTAGAAGGAAAGCAACAGCAAGGTATCTATAGTTGATTAGCTTTATTATCTCACCTTAAGACAACAGAGAATAGATTTCCTTTTTACATGTTCATTGAGAATTCATCAAATTCCAGGAGATGTTTGATGTAAGCCATTGATAAAGAAATGCAAAGCCATTGCACAAGCCACACGTGCTCTATGATAAAAAAAATGCCAGTCCCTGAAGCTGTCGGGTCAAAACATGCAGCACCATTCTGCAGTTAGCCTCAGTCTCTCACCAAATCAGAAATCACTTCCTTTCTCAACTCATAACATACAGTGACAGTATGGAAGGTAATCCACACCTTCCAACCCACTAACCTATCTACAAGGCTGTACTCCCTCTGGAGACCTACAAAACAGTAGATTTCTGTGCACTAATCCAACACTCTAAAAGACCTACTCCTCAAAAATCTACCTTCAGGACAGGGAGCTTAGACACCTGGCCCTTGGCCTCTGCTAGTACTGTCAGCAAGAGGACAACTGAAGGTTAACTGAGAACATCAGTTCACACAAACAAGGGAATGGTGGTCAAAGTATAATGGTTTTTCATCACTTCTAACCTGGACCAGATTAAAACCAACAAAGAGGTGAAAGTTTCCCAGGCCCACAGTCCCTATGGTCCCATGACTTTTGAGCTCCCAAAACAGCACTAATGTGTAAAGTCCATCAAACGCCTCTCCTTGCAAGTGTTGCTTAAGAGAACAATAGGTCAACTCAGCACAGAAGTGCTCCTGGGCTCAGTGACACGGCAAATTGTACTTTTGAAGGCTGACGTACCTTAGAGGAACAAAAACCCAACAAAGGAGATGCGATAAAGTTACTAATTACTGCTCCTTCAAGACTAAGTAACGTTCTAACTTGCACTTTAAAGTGAGAATTACTGACAGTTAATGAACTGCAAACTGACGCAGCTTTCTGTACCTCCTTTGCTGGTGGTAACAACTCTGCCAATATTAAGATACTGCCAGGGATATAACACTGTTCAGAGTTGAGCTAGGGAAAAATAAATAAATAATAATAATAAAAAAACACACTAGTGTCAGGCAGTCCCTCTGGAGCTGAAAAGGAGCATGTATAATGAAAACCAGGTTCCTGAATGCCTGGAATTCAATGGTTGTAGACTTCCAGCAAATCCGTTTTACTCCGTTGGCTCTGTGTGAAATTTATACTATCCATCGTTAGGAAATATCTTCACAACTGTTGGACTGAGTTAGCAGCACTAATCAATGGATCAGTCCGTTTGCACCTGTAAGTATTTAACTGAAGACTAACTGCATCCAGTCATAAACTGGATGTGGATTACGAACTGATATTCACCAGCAGTGGGCAAATTAAGAAGGACAGGAGGGGCTATAAACACAACATCAGCAGTCTAAGATGTGAGGTACATCTGTATAGCTTACTGCCCCTCAAGGACCAGGGGACTGTTGTGTTAGGCACACACAGGCAGAATGAAATTCCATCCCAAAAATGTGATTATGAACAGTCAGAAAAGGTTAGCAAGAGAAGAGAAAGGAAAGACGGTAACGGTAAAGCAAACAAGTTATTATACATTAAGCAAATTGCTCACAGCTTGTACTGTGATCTTTGTCAATGAGTGTGATAAGGGAAGTTATTGTAAACCAAGAAGGTTTTTATGAGATCTTTTGGCACAGAGAGCTGAGAGAAAAATCAACTACAGCACAGTGCTACAGCTACGAAGGTAACGCTGAGCATGAGAATGCATAAGAAGCTGTGCAAGTCCTCAGTACCCTATGTGAGCCAGACTTCTAGTTCATGCAGGCTGCTGGTTAGGTTCAGAATTAGACAGCTCCCTGTTCTTTCCCTGGTATTTCGTTCTGTGAGACTTGTAATACCACACGCTGCACACTGCTCTAAGACCCACCAGTCAAGGAAAGGCAACTGTGATCGGCTACATGTAGGGGAACAAAGATACATGCAGACATCTGGTACACACACAAGCCACAGATTTGGACTTCTCCATTATTCAGTTAGACTCACCTGAAAGAGTGGAACAACCTCAGATACTCCCTGAGGATCCTGAGGGTCCTTCAGGAGGATGCACAGGTAATAGATAACTTTTTGCTACAAGACAAACAAAATAATTGAAGTTTGAGAGTGCCTGGAGTTATCACAGAAAGAGGACCTGTTTCAACTCATTGGGATGAACGAAGCGTGCAAAATTTTCTAAGGATAAATTGGCAGAAACATCTGTGTTTCACAAGGGTAAATATTTTTGCTTCAAAATTATGTACGAAGAAGCTTGCAATCAGACTCCTTCTCTTTTTTTCCTATTTGTGTTCAGCCTTAAAAATATAAGAGTGGTTTTGCCCTATGGACTTCTCAGTTTTAATTGTAAAAGTAGCAGTCAGATTTTCAGAAAACCCATCCCTTCTCCAAAACCATTCTTCTCCCAAATCTATTTGAGAACAACAAAATATACAGGGGAAAAAAAAAAAAAAAAAAAAAAGAAAGCCACCACAGGATCTACACATTCCTGCTGACAATGCTTTTCTCTTATGCTTTTTTGATGCATACCATTTTGCTAATTATCTGTTTTGCCTTTGTAAGAAGTTACACAATGTTGGAACATGTTGAAGATTGTGGGGACTTAGTAAGAATTTGTTTTCATCTACAGCAACTTCACACACATCAGTGACAGTGTGAGTGACCTCAGTTCTTCATAACTGTATTTGAACAAAACAATGATGATAGTGCAGCCCAGCAAGTCTTAAATAAACAAACAAAAAAAAAATATGAAAGAAGTGCAAAGGCTTTTCTGCCCCCTTGCCAATAAAGAGAAAGAAAAGGAGCTCAACATCACCTTTGTCTCCTTTTGCAAGAAAACTTTATATGAATCTATGCTAATCTCCAAGTGGTCTTCACAGACTGTACTTCCAAGAAGACAGGTCTCGCTCAAATTAGTTGGAAAAACACTGATTTCGGAAAGTGCAGAGGAGAAAGAAATGTAGCTAAAAATACTTTGGGGGAGAAACATCTCACTGGCTGGCATCTTTTTTTGCAAGCCAGGCACGATCCAATGTTTTTAGTTTTTGAAAGAAAGATCTCTAAAGAAATCCAGTAGTGTCCTCACTCAGGCAGCCTGAAGTCCTGTTAAGATTTCCTGCCTAACATTTCTTAGTTCTTCATTATAGTTCTTCAGAAACGCTTACTCAACAGTTAACGGTGGTTGTGCAAAATGCACCTTCCAATCCAAGGGGTTCAGTGCATTTCGCTGTCTGGTTATGACATGCAATTTATTGTGAAGAAAGTAAAACAGATCCGAAGACAGAGACTATATTTAAATTCAGTTTCGGCTACGGAAGTCTGTTAACAGAAAGCAACTAAGTAAAACATTTAGATTACAGACAAGCTGCAGTACAGGATTGACTATTCCCACACAGATTGGCTGATGTATGAAGCCAATTTTGGAAAGTTTTTTTGTTAAAACATCTCTTTTCCAGGTAAGACTAGGAGAAGATGACTCTAGGCTCAGATGGTTTTATGATTATCACTACCTGCTTCAGCATATTATGCAAATTACTGCCTTCTACCTTCCCACCAATGCAAGCAGCTCGGTGCAATGTATATGCCATTTCCCAGTCACCACAAGCCACACTCAAATCTACACATTTTTATGTATAGCTCTCCTCCCTTCACTCAGTAAGAAAATAATTCCGTGTTTGTTGTTGTTGTTGTTGTTTTCTTTCTCTACTAAATTTTTAACCTGAAAAGAACACATGCATGATAAAAGGGTAAGGTCTGCTCTTCCATAGGAGACTGGCAGTTTACCCCCAAGATGGGACAAAATAATCTCTTATTCTTGTCTATCTTCTTACCTCCCTCTAGACTGCTATAGAATTAGGCATCAGCATTAGGCATCAGCAGTTAGGCATCAGCATCAGTACAATATAATACAAAGAACTAAAATGACTAGCTCAGTGCCAGTGGCATTATCTAAGGGATGGATCTGACTTGTTGAGGCTACTTGCTGAAGTTTTCCTTTAAAGGCAGGAGAAAAGATGATAGAATAAAGGCAGGAGAAAAGACGATAGAATAAAGAGAGAAATCTGAATCAAAGCTCCTGACGTCAGTAAAGCTATGGATGCTGCTATGTTTAATTGCCCTGATAAACCACTCTTGTGAAAATACACTTGATGTGAGTGTGCCCACAGATACACAAGAAACACTGATTACCATATAGATGGCTTCATTGATAACCACGTCCTTGACTCGACTCATCTCAATGAAGGTTGTGCTCTCCTTCCCTGAAGCATAGGACGAAGTCAACTGAATGCCAAGTGAGCCGATGACCAACAGAGATTCCTGGTCAATTTTCACAAAGTGCAGGTAGATGATCAGGCCAATCAGCGTGATGAATATAGCACCAGAAAGCACCATACTATTCTGTAACACAAGCCAAGCAAAGACAGAACTTTGGTCTTACAATTATGTGGCTTTAGACAAAACATAACAAACAAAAAAACACCACACTGCATAGTAAAACATAATATTAAGGCTACATTTACAAAGCAGGTTTTATGTAGGTGAGTCTGTTTATTCGAAAGGCTGGCTGCTATATGCGTAATGAGATTTACATCACTAAACATCAGTCTTCATGGAATGGTCTGAAAGAACTGGGAGCTGAAATTGAAATCAGCAAGAAGAAATTATTCCCTTGTAAAGCTAGCACAAAAATCTCAACCCAAAGCAATTATATAAAGCAATGACAGCATATTATACAAACAGCTATAGTGATAACATCACTGACAGAGAAATGGTGTTAAATGTTTACTGGAATTAAGGATGGCATCTCAGGAGGGAAGAAGAATCTTTTACCAAAAGCACTAGCCTAGGCCTACGTAGGAGATCCAAGTTTTCTTCTAATATACTGTGAGTCTAAACTTATTAAAACTTTCTCTCTCTTCCTGCCTTAAATACCAAGCCAGAGGATATCTGCTTTCTCCTGTCTTTTGTCTAAGGACAAATTGTCTTTTGCACGCTGTAGTCTTTGGACTGCTGTTTCATAAAATAATATGTAAATCTAATGCTATGTAAGTTTCATAGTCATCTTTCATCAGTAGGTCAGCAACTGTAAGCCATCTGAAGACCTGGTAATAAATCCTAAGGATCCTCAATCTGCAACCTATTTCTGGGACGTGTTTGCGAGAGCTCAAGGCCACATACCTATGGACTGAAGTTGAAACTGACACTTCCTAAAGGACCAGAACTGCACAGCTCTACCACTCAAGCTGTGCCTATATCACCATGTGAGGTAAAAATGCCATGTCCACATTCAAAGAGAAAGGATACAGGATTTCTCCCAAGGTTTGTCACCATGGAAAAAAAAAGCAGTAACAAATCACAGGCATTGAAATCCACAGAGAAACAGACATTCGGATCTCCTTTCCTGGCAGAAAGGAAGGACTGTAGTTGCATATGAGATTCATGATCACATGTAAAACCAAGGAGGAAGGTGGTGGTTGGTAACCCCTGGGATGTATGTTTTTGTAACAAGTAAGACTTGAAAACAGCTTCACTTCCTGTTAGAAAATAGTGAACCACCTCTTCATATTAGAATTACTGCCACATGACTCACATCTCCATCCCTGCCTTCATTCCTGAGAAGATTACTGAGAAAACAGAAGTGCCATACTGTTGGTCACAGTCAAGCTTTTGGAGTCAGGCTACTGAGTTTAACCAACAGGTCTACGCCTGGCAGTTGGTCCTTCTGTGCTAATATGGGTCAAATAATATGGATCAGGTACCGGAGCCAGCACTTGAGCGTTTCTCGGCTGCTTCTGCAGTCTGTGCTGCCATGGTCTGACCAACAGCAGCGAGAGGCGGCAGCGCGGCGGTTTGGCTCCCTCAGCACAACCCCAGGCCGTCCACCTGGCGCTCGCTCGCCTCCCCCATCACCTCCCGTCCTGTACCAAACAAACACCCGCCGGCGGGACGCAAGGACCGCCGGGGGCCGCCCCTGGGGCTCGGGTGCTGCCGGCCTCGTACCTCGCTGAGCACGAAGACGCCGTAGGCCGCCAGCCAGACGGCGGAGGTGACGGCGCTGAGGGAGCGGAGCTGCAGGCGGGGCCGGCGCAGCGCCAGCTCCCGGCAGGAGGCGCTGTGCTGCCGGCGCCGCAGCGCCAGGGGCTCCCCCGAGGCCGAGCGGAACGGCCGCTCCTCCACGCCAGGGGGGCACCCAGGCGGCGGCCTGCAGCTGCCCGCCTCCATGCCGCGGTGCGCCCCGCTTCCGCCGGCGCGGAGGGGACGGGGAGAAGGGAAGGGAAGGGGCGGGGAGAGGCGGCGGGCAGCGCCCGGCCCCGCAGCGCCGCCAGCGGGCGCCTCGCCCGCACCTCCCGGCACCTCCGGGCCGCGGGGCTCCCGTGCCACCACACCGCCGTGAAGCGGGCGGGGGGGTCATCTATTGCCTTTAACATTCCTGCTACACAGACGTTGCCCTGCCTGTTCTTGTCCGTGCATCCTTACATACAGGCTTTATTTTATTTATTTATTTATTTATGTTCAGTGATGCTTTCTCAGCAGCTTAAAGCAGTGCTTTCTGGGTCCTTGCCATCTCAGCACATAAGGAATTGGAGGCTTGGCTTTGCATCCAGACTTACTGACTCTGCGCAGTGCTCTCACTGCTTTGCAGTTACACCTCAGGTGCTTCACCTGGCACTGATGCAGAGCTGCAGGGCGGTGATTTCCAAACCTGTGCTGCCTTCCCCACCCCAGGCCACTGAGCATGCCCCTAGCTCTCCTCACAGATGTCCTTGGGGTCGTCTAAGGAGAGGTTGCACATGGTGCTGGGGAGATGGGTCAGTGGGTGGTGGTTGGACCAGCTGACCTTGGAGGCCTTTTCCAGCCTTAACGATGCTGTGGTTCAAGGCGCTGCACGCAGGGTGCCCTGGGATCCGGGGTGCTGCACACAGACCCGGTCCCTCACCCTTCTGGGGGCAGCAAGGCCGGCGTGAGAGGGAGGGAGACACTGGGGGTGGTCGTTGGTCGGGCTGGGCAGGAGGAGGGGGTGCAGAAGGCCCTGCGGCTCGTCCTGCGCCTCGCCAAGGTGAGGGGTGGGCCGGGCCGCCCAAGGGTGAGCTGAGGCAGCAGAGAAAAAACACCTGGCGGGCGAAGCGAAGGGGCTGCGGGGTGGGGGAGAAACGAGTGAAAAACGCTTACGTGTGAGGAGAAAACAATAACGAAGATGCGGCTTTAAAGAGGGAACTGGCACGTGAGGCGCAGGTGAGGCGGCTGAGGCAGGCAGGCAGGAGCTCAGCGCGGCTGACGGGGCCGTGAGGGGGGCGCGCGGGGCCGGGCGCTAACGGCCGCTAACGGCCGGGAGGGGCGCGCGCCCCCTCACCTCAGGGCCGGCGGGGGGCGGGGCCGGGGGGGCGGGACACACCTCCGTGCGCGCGCGCCGCCGTTGGCCGGGCGGCCCGGGGGTGTGCGGGCGGGGGCGGGGCCCGGCGGCGCGCGCGGCGCTGGAGCGGCTTAAGAGGAGCGCGGCGGCGGCGGCGGGCATCGGGCGGTGGCTGCGCGGCTCCTGCGGCTCCTGCGCCATGGCCCTGCGCGGCGGCTTCGCGAGGCTCCTCCGCGGCCAGGCGGCCCCCGCCCGGCTGCAGCGGCCCCGGCAGGCGCACTCGGTGGCGCTGGTGGGAGCCCCGTTCTCCCGGGGGCAGGTGGGCGCCGGGGCGGGCGGCCGGGGAGGGGGCGGCCGGTAACGGCGGGTAACGGCTGCGTAACGGCTGTGTAACGGCTCGCCTTCTCTTTGTCCCGCAGAAACGGCGCGGAGTGGACCACGGCCCCGCTACTGTCCGCGCCGCGGGGCTGCTGGAGCGGCTGGCTGGGCTCGGTGAGGCGCTGGGGGGGCCGGAGGGGGGTGTGGGGCCGGGAGGGGGCCGGGGGGGCCGGCCTGGGCCTGGCGCCGTGCTCGCTGCTCACGGCGGGTCTGTGCCTCCGTCCGTCCCGGCTCCCCGGCTCCTTCCTGAGGCAGCTGTGTGTTGCCGGGTGAGGGGATGCGGAACTTTCTGGAGAAACCTCCAGGCTCGCTTTTCCTTTGTAAGGCTGTACGGGGGGGAAGGTGGTGGTGGTCTGCATCAGCGCCAGTAGCAGTGGGTAAGGAAAGCCGTGCCTTTCTTCAGGCTTCAGCTCCTCCCAGCCATTGTGGCTACAAGCTGGTGGGTACGGTATCGCAGTTTTTAGAAATGTTGCAGCAGAGAAACTTGACCAAATTCTGCCCCAGGGAATCCTTAATTTAGAAAGCATCGCTGGAAGCTGTGTGGTGATGGACTGCAGAGCTGGACCAGCAACAGAAAGAACTTACCCGCTGTGCGTGTGGTTAGCGCTAATAGAATCTAGATGCATGAAGAAAACAGATAATTGCTTAATAAGCCTCCGGCAAACTTAATCTGAATTATAAGACCTTTAAAATGGAGGCTATTGTTCTGTGCAGCCCTGTGGGCTTCCTGTGCATATTTCATGATTCACCAGCTGGAAAACCCCAATTTGTGATCAAATGAGTAGACGAGCCTTTCCTCTTTTGTGTTGCGCAAAGTTGAGATGTATGTCTCAGCATCCACGCATATCCATGGCAGCATTTGAATTCACAGTGAGTGTGATCTGTAACACCACCAAAAATAGAGGGTGTCTGAAAAACCTCTTATATGCTGGGATAAAGGCAGGTCTAGGTGTTACTGAGCCTAAAGGCAGCAAAAACTGACAAGTTACCAGGTTTGAAAGGATACGTAATCTGAGGCAAGAAGATACGCAGCAGTGTTTTTGGCAATTGATATAATTCTGTACAGGAAGGCTCGACGTTTTCTTTGAAATAGTTCAGATATTATACTTACAACTTTACAAGAATCCTTATTTTTTAAAAAAGTAATTTGCATAACAGAAACTTGTTCCAATAGATACTTGAAGAAGATGAGAAGAAAGCAGGCTAAGAGCCCTTTATGGGTTCTAGTAACAAAAAAAATGCAAGGATAGAAATTAATCAAGTTAAACTCAAAAATCAGGGGAAGGTGGTGAATACTTCCATTGTTTAGTTGCTTATGGACTGTTTATTACTTAATCAAGTAGTGAACACGGAAATATTCTATTGTTCTTCCCTTAAGATTTTTTTGAAGACAGATTTCTTCCTTCTGCGTTTTCAGTTTCATGTTGCTGGCATATTCTTCCACTGGGATAGTTTTTTTTTTTCAGTTGGTTTTGATGTTTATACTGCTGCCTGAATTCCCTGCAGCTCTCATCGGAGCAGGTTCAGATAGCACACAAACTGTAACAAATCCTGCTGGGAGGGCCCATCCTGAAGCAATTGCAGTCACCAGCATACACAGCTGTCTACATTGCAAAGGCAATCTGCTTGAGGGTTGGGTGGTTGGATGGAGGAGGAAGCTACCGGATAGCCTTTTGTATTGTGCACATCTGTTGTTCATGGAAACTTAATAAATTACTGTTTTTTGTGAGGCTGGCAGGATAGCTTTGCCTGTAGTAATGTGATAATGCTGCTGGTTGGCCTCCTGGGGTACACTGAACTGGCTGTAAAACTTTAGCTGCTTTTTTTCTTTGTCTTTGTTTTTTTCTAACACGACGCTTTCTCTTATACACTGAAGAAGGCAATAGAACAATGGTGGTTTTATTATTATTACCTTGAGTCTTGTAGTTGTCTGTTCTGTTAGAAGAATTGTTTTCATGGGTCCTTGTTGCTTGTTTTCCAGGAGCAGGTAGGTAATACTGCAGCAGACCAGATTTCTCCTTAGAAATGTCTGCCTAAGATATAGGGCTTCTATTCTTCTATATGTGTTGGTTAGTTCTGAAGCTTCTGTGTCCCCAGAATGTGCTCCCCACCCTGCCATTTCCCCCTGCAGCAGGGATGTTGGAGATTGCTATAGATGTGATTGCGGTGTTTGTCTGTGTCATTATGAGCTTGGAGCTGGGCATGAGGCCAGCGATGGGGAGATGCTTTCCAGCAGAGAAGCAAAGGTGGATTCAGGGCAGTCAGAACAACTATTGATGGGGAAAAGGAGGCAGTGTTCCTATAATGAAATCTGCATGTAGTGACTCTTAAATAAAATTGCACTCAGTTAGTTCAAGTGGAAGAGATTTCTGAGTAGAATCTGCTTGAAACTGCAAGGTTCAACTTGCTCATTTTTCCATCTGTATGTTCAATTTGACCTGTGTAAAATGCTTTTATGGCTGCTTTAGAACTGCAGCATTCAGGTAGTAAGATGCATGCACCATTTGTTTGTTTTAGCCTTATGCTTCAGTACGCTGAATATCAAGGCACCACATGGCTTTCTGTATGCCTATATAGCTGACTTAATACCTTCATTTGACAGTGCTAGAAGTATGTCAGAGTGAGAACACCATTATCTTTTGTTCATCCTTTTAGCACTGTATTGCATGGGATGGTGGGGGAAATCTGATCCTCTCACTCTATCCTAAACCTGCTCTCTTACAGTTCTGTTGCAGTCTCCTGAGCTGCTGCTCTACTTTCTACTTCCTGGGGGATCCCTCCCTTGAAAGAGGCTGTAGCTGTAGTCACATGGTGTGATATCTTTTTTGGCCACCTAGGATAATGACTGCTGCTGAACAGCTTGTTTATGCTTAGGCTGAAATACAAGGAGGGAGCTGAGAAGCAGATGGCATCACTAGCCTGTATCAGACTGTCAGAGATGAGCCTGAGCCACTAGCTTGTCATCCATCCCCTCGTTAGAAGCAGAGCAAACAATGCTACATGGTGGTAGTAGCTTGAGGTGTACTCAGAGCTAATGTAGCAGGAATCCAACTCCCAAGCCAAAAACAGTGGGTGTGCAAGTCTGTAGCAAGCATAATTTAAAGGATAACTGACTAAGCCTGCAAGGCTTCTTAATCACTGGTGATGTCTGTCTTTTGGCTTTTTTCCTTTTCCGAAGGGAAACTAAAATATTAACATCTTAAAAGACTCTTCTATCTTGCCAAAGAAGTAAATATGTTGTATGAAAATAGAAATTCGTAACTCCATGGTGTGGAGGAGGACAGGGTGCACAGTTCTGAGCTTGACCTACGGTACAGAAGATGTAAAGTATGAAGTCACTTCTGTGAATTCTTTTTTAAGATTTTTTTTTTTTTTTTTTTGGACCTCTCAAGCCTACTGTAGATTAAGCAGAGAATCTGATCCACCTTAAATCTGGAGTGTTGCCCAGTCCCCCCCTTTCTTGGAGGAGAAAAGGACCACTCAGATTTTAATAAGCACTAAGTAGCTGTTGTGTTAATCACTATAGCTCTTGAGGTGACTTAGA